CGGGTGCTTTAAACCAGGGGGCCCTGTGGGCCAAATCCAGCCTGTTTATGTACTGCTCCTGAGCCAAGAACAGTTTTGACTTTCTCAAAGGGTTGTAAAAACAAAAGAGACGATGCGACATAGACGGTTATGATTGAAAACAGTTTTGCAGATTGAGCAAATAAAATTTCAGAATGCCTGGTTAAATTTGAATTTTCTGAAAAACAACACATCTTTTCGTGTGTGTTCCATATTTGGTACATATACTAAAAAAAAAAAGAGAAAATTCTTTTTTTATCTGAAATTTGGATTTCGCTGGGCACCCTGCATTTTATCCGGCAGCCCTAGCTCAAAGCCTGAAATAGTTGCTGTCTGCCTCTTTACAGAAAAAGTTTGCCGACCCCAGGCTTACACATAGCAAACAAGATCAGGGGTCAGAAGGCCTTAGGACACTGCCTGGAGCCGAGGTCCATAAGCACTGGCTGCTGGAACTAGTGTTATTAATCAGAGCGATCACCAAACAGTTAGCGAGCACTCTCCACATGCCAGGCACTGTCCTAGGGGCTCAAGATCTACCTGGGACAGACAGACACTAGATGGATAAACCCCCAGATGTGTGGGAAAGTCAGGCCGAGCGTAAAGCCAGACACTCTATTTTAGGCAGGGTGGTCTGAGCCCTCATCCTTTTTTGAGCTCTGTGCATGTTTTGTTTTAAATTTTTAAAGCAGGAATTTATATTTAGAAACTCTCAAGAGACTTTAAAAAAGCCCAAAGGCGTCCAAGTTTAATAGAAGATCATCCTGAGGCAATGTCTGTTGGTTTCTCCATTACTAAGGCATCTATCTGATCCTTGTTAATGAAACACCCCGATGATTCTGCTAGTTGGGTCCTGGTGATTTCCTCTGACTGCTGCTATCTTTCATAAGTGGCCATCAGCTCACAAACAGTGAAAAACGTAATCATGAAACATCTGCAGATCCAACTCCAATATCCTGTCTGCATTCTTCTTTGAAACCAGGTCCAGTGATTATCAGTTTGAGTAGTGGAGACCTTGGTGAGTGTCATCTGCAAAGACTGGTATCATCTGCAGCTCTTTCAGACAGAAACGAGCAAACACCCAGAGCTCTGCGCACGGTTTTATGAAATTCTCACATAGCAGCCCTGAGAGGTGGTGTGGATTTCATCCCCATTTCACAGATGAGGAAACTGAGGCCTGAAGTCACCCAGCCAATGGCTTAACTGGAGTTTGAACTGGGCCTGGTGGCTCTCAAGCTCATGTTCTTACTCAGTGCACTAGTGCCTCCCTAGATGGTGCCAACCTGTGCTGGGTCCTTTGAGGCCCTCGGCCTGCATTTTCCACAATCCTTTTGATAGCCCTGAACACGGGGCCATGTTATTTCCTTCCGGAGCTTAGAGAGCATGAACACAGCAGGGTGGAGAGAAGTAGCAAGTTAGTTTGGGACCTGGCAGGGTTCAAGGTGGGCAGCATGAGGGTACCTGGGTGTGGGCAGGTGGCAGATATGAGGAGGGGAGTAGACAGGGCCAGCCTGGGTGCCCCAGGAGCCTTCCTTCCTGCTTTGCATATTGGCCAGGATTTCCCTGCCTGACTCCCTCCTGAGATTAATCCTCCTTTTATGTTGTTTAAATATTTGCAGGAAGAGGGAGGGATGGGGGGAAGGGCGGGGCTGGTTTCCAAAGGTTTGCAGGGTGGGACTGGAAATGGGGTGGGCACGTGCTCTGAGGTCTGACGTGGAGGGGCGGGGCCAGGCCAGGCCTGCAGGCCAGTGAGGCCCCGATTTGGAACATCCATTGAGGGCCAGGTTGTGGGCTGAATAGTTACTGTAGACTCAGGAATCCCTGCAGTTTGTAGAAGCTTCTCGTTACCCCTGTGAGGCAGGGGTGCTGTTGTCTCCATTTTGCAGATGGGGAACCTGGTCCAGCATCATGCAGATGGTGAATGGCCCAGGGTTTGAGCTCAGGTCAGTGACTCCACATTCCGGGCTCTTAGCCCCTTTCAGCTGCCTCCTGACATCTTGTCCCTAACATGGCTTGGTGTTCAGGGCTAATCTAGATCCAATCGGATCTGTTCATTGAGAGCCCCATAGTGAAGCAGCTGTTGGCCGGCTCCTGAGAATGGGTGCCAGAGAAGGATAAAAGCTCCTTGACCATTTTGACCTTTGATGTCCCCTCATCCCCCACAGGAAGTGGTTGGCAGTCAGATCCTGACTCCCGGGTCCGTGCTGCTTTTGGTCCCTAAGTTCGGAGAGACTGGAATCCCTTCTCACAGGTTTCTCACCACCTTGGGATTTCAGAGGACCTGACCCAGTACAGGGCGGGGCCGGTGGCAGAGCTCGAGGTCGGGCCCTCAGACAGATCTGGGTTCAGATCCCAAGTGGGCCCCTTCCTGGCTGTTTGTCCTTTGGGCAAACTGCATAAACTGTGAGCCTCAGTTTATCTATCTTTTAAATGGGGAAAATAATGCTTTTGTGAGGATTAAATAAAATGTTCTATACAAAGCACCTGGTGCATAGGAGGCACTCAGTAAACATTCTCTCTATTTAAGTAACAAAAGCATTGGTTCTGAATGGCCTCCAGACGAACAAAGATCCAGGATCTGAATCCTGCCTCCTCTGCGTGACCTTTTGTTGGGTGATCTAATCTTTCTGTGTCTCAGTTTCCCCATCTGTAAAATGGGAATAATTTGGGAAACTACCTCATAAAGGTTGTGCCTACAGTCAGTCCCTGGAGCATAGTGAATGCTCAGAAAACAAACAAAATGAAACCTGAACTTCAGTGTCATAAAACTCCCAACTGTTTGCTAGCCCAGCCTGCCTTTTCACATGTAACAGCACATTTGATCCTCATCACAACCCCACAGGATGATGGGTCCGCTTTACAGAAGAGGAAACAGGCACCAGCAGGGTGCAGAACTGGGCTGGGCTCACCTAGGACTGAGGGCCAGAGCTGGGATGTAAATAGAGGTCTGTGTCACTCCCACAGCATTGCCTCTGTGCTTCCTGAATGGGGTGTGGTTTCTGGGCCAAAGCTTAGAAAACCACACAGGTTGCCAGGAGCCAGGATGCCACATTGCTTTCGCCCCCATCTCCAAAGACCACCTCCAGGTCCTTCAAAAATGCTAACCAAGTTCAAGCCCATGGCTGGGAGGCTGAGGGGGAAAGGTGGTTGAGCTGAATTTCGGAGGTTCTGTGGCTGCCTGGCCCTCTCCCCTTGCTCACAGGTCTGTGTGGTCTGTCCCCTGGGATGGGAAGCAGCATCTTTCGTCCTGCAGTGAGGCAGTGCAGTCTTCTGTGAGACTCTGTGACCTTCTGGGGAAGGCTCCCATCCGCATTGTCTTTTTAATCTCCTCGCCTGACCTCAGGCTCAGCTTGTTATTAACTAGGATGATGTTCTAGCCCACGGCTGGCAGCCAGCGGGGCGGTGGGGGGAGTCCTCATTTGCTGGAACCCTAGGTGCTGCAGTCCCACCTGCACCACCCACTGCCTGAGATCCATCCCCAGGACGGGAGGCCTGGGGCCAGACAGCCACGGGCTCCCCCCTGTAGCAGACTTACCAGCTGTGTGGCTGAGAGAGGGGTTGCCCTTCCTGAGATTCAGGATCCACAACTGTAAACAGACAGCCTGCTCTGCTCTGCAGTGTGGACTGGACACAGCGTGTGTAGTCAAGGTGCCAATACGAAGCAGATGGTTCCCCCAAACGGAGTAGATTAAGGTGACTTTAATGAAGGGGCTGTTGACTGAGGCGAGGGATGCCGGGAGACAAGGAAGGGGGCAGCACCCTGCAACTGTTAATGGGGGCAAGGAGGACCCGAAACCGGCACTTCCCCTTGCCTAACGGGTGCGAGGGAGAAGCCAGGAGAGGGGGGCTGGCTGTGTGGGAGGGTCCCTGGACTGCTCCGGCTCTTCCTTAAGGATTGTGGGAGATCATTTAGATCCTCCCGCTCCTCTTCCTTCCCCTCTTTCTCCCTCCTTCTCCTTCCCCTCCAGTCTTCTACTGCAGTCCGGAGTGCTTGAGAATCACCTGGAAGGCTTGATAAACACGCTGGAGTCTGATTCAGTGGGTCTGGGTGAGCTTGAGCAATTGTATTTGAACCTGTTCCCAGCTGGTGCTGGGCTGCTGGATCCTGCATCTCTCTAAGCTTGTCCTGCCTTGGGCCTCATGGAGGGGCTTCCCGTCCAGTGAAAGCTGCCCTATCAGGACCGGATCCCTGTCTGGCACATCAGAGGTGCTTGAGAAGGATTTGTTGAGTGACTGAATCTGGTAGGGAAAGCATGCAGCCTGGGAGTCAGACGCAGGCTGGAATTCTGTCTCCACTCTGGGCCGGCTCCCCTTCTGTGGGTGAGTTGCTTCACTTCCCCAAGCCTCTGTTTCCCCAAATAAGATCACAGATCCAGCTGGCATGTGACGACTAGGGATTTGAAACCAGGTCTGCCAGCTTCCAGGGCTGAACTTTTACACAACACCCTCCTGATTCTTTTATATACCTGTTTCATTAATTCGTTCGTTCATTCACCCACTCATTTAGAAAATATTTATTGAGCACTTACTGTGTGCACCAGGCACTGTTCTTACTATGCACCAGGCCCCATGGGCACAGCAGCGAACAAGGCAGACGAGGCCCTGCCCTCAGGCAATGCATATTCTAGAAGAGGGAGGCAGACAGTAACAACACTTGGGATGGCAATAGTGTGAGTATTCTTTCTAAAATGGGATGGATGGAGGCGGGAGGGCTGCCTCAGATGATGTGGTCAGGGAAGGAGATGACATCTTGTGTGACACCTGAGAAGAAGCCTGCCATGCAAGGAGCCTGAAAGAATGATGCAGTAAAATATGAAGGGTGCAGCTATCCCAGGCCACAGGCCTTGGACCTACAGAAGACACGGTGCATAGGGTATAGAAGGAAAGCCGTTATCAACATTCTCCAGACAACCTGGGAAGGCCCCGGGGGTGTCTGCACCCCAGGTCGCATTGGGTTCTCCCCTCCCACTGCCTCTGCCTTCCAGGTGAAGCAGATCATGGAGGAGGCCGTCACACGGAAGTTTGTCCACGAAGACAGCAGCCACATCATCTCCTTCTGTGGTGAGTCTGGGACCCGTGGCCGTGAACAGTGACTTCTTCCTCTGTGGGCTGCCTTGGGGAGGGCGTGTTTGAGCAAGGATTCTCACATCATTTTTTTTTTTTTTTTTTTTTTTGCTTTGTAACTTTGAAGGTATTTTTGGATTCCTTCATTAGGGAATTGGGAAATACAGAAAAGTTTAGAGAGGAAATTAAGCGTGACCTCTGGACCCCATGAAGAGGGAATCATGGTTACCATTGGAGGCCTGGCTTCCCCTGCTGTGGGCTCAGTTCACACGGACCCTGTCCCATGCGACAGGGGTCTTGCATCTGAGGAATGGACTCATGTCCTTTCCTCACTCTGCCTATGGCTGGTGCCAAGTAAGAGGAGAGGACGGATGGGGACTTTTAAAAAACGTAATGAAGAGCTGTGGACTCATCCTGAGGTCCTGAGGGATCCTGTCTAGCTGGCTCAGCAAAGGCGGCAGGCCCAGCGCTCAGAGCGTGACTCACTGCTCTCCTTGAACCAGCTCCGCTCCCAAGGTTCCCGAAATAACCTCACTGCCAGGTTCTTCCTGTGCATTCCAAATGGCTAGAGGGACACGTGTCGTGCGTGTCCCTGACGTCAGGACTCAGCTCATAATCAATGTGTACATACAAGCAGACATGTTTCTTTTTTTCTCCCCAAAAAGCTATTACATGATTGGAGTGTCTCGTAATGAAGGACTGCTGTAATTTCCCTCTCCTGGTCTTAGCTCCATGAAGCTTCTGTTCAAATGACTGGGGACGCCACCAGAGTCCTGTTATAATGTTATCATGTCAGCCGCTCCTGGAGTCTCAGTAGTGATGATGATGATGATGATGATGTGGTTCCTTAACACAGATGACACTCGACAGTTCTGTGGTCCAGCCTCCCCTCCCCCATTAACAGGAGGAATAGGTAACAGTCGGAAAGCACTCATAGGTCCCCGGCGCTGTGCTAAGTGCTTTTCATGCATTTTTCACACCTCATCCGAACAGCAACCTTATGAGGTTAATGCTCATACTGTCCCCATTTACAGCTGAGGAAATAGACTCAGGAAGGGGAAATCATTGCCTAAGTCACGCAGCTGGGGAGGGGCTGGGAAAGGATGTGAGAGAGGTGGTCTGACCTTGAGCTGTGAGTGTGGGTTAACCTCTAAGCTCTCCTTCTCTCTTTTGAGGGGGTTGAAGGTGGAGAGGCATACATGCTGTTCCCTGTGATGTTGTCACAAACCTGTGATTCTGGGGGGCCCCTGCTTTCCCAGGTGCCTGTGTGACTGAGCTGGGTGCTGGGGAGCATGGGCAGGGCAGAGCCTGCTGACCATTGTCTCTGCAGCGGCTGTGGAGGCCTGCGTCTTGCACGGGCTGCGGCGGCGGGCGGCTGGCTTCCTGCGCAGCAACAAGATCGCGGCTCTCTTCATGAAGGTGGGCAAGAGCTTCCCGCCAGCTGACGAGCTGAGCCGCAAGGTCCAGGACCTGGAGCAGCTGATAGAGAACGCGTGAGTGCAGAGCATGGTGTACAGGCTGGGGGAGTCCCCCAGACAGTCCGTGCTCTTCCCCGGGCTCTGTGAGAGCTCCGGCCTTCCAGCACTCCCTCCGCTCTCCTTTCTGCTCCTCTGACCCGTCAGACTCTTTTCCACCCCAGGGCCTTTGCTTATGCTGTGTCCTCCACCTGGTTCTCATCCCTCCCTCATCTTCCATGGCTGGTTCCTTGTCAGAGTCAGGCCTTCCCGTAGCTAAGGGTAAATTCCAACCCTCATCCCATTTCTCTTTCATATCATCTTGTTTATTTTCTTCCCAATTGTCATCACCATCTGTAATTATTCATTTGTTTGTTTACTATTTACTTGATTATTGTCTGTCTCCCCTTTTTGCCTGAACTCCATGAAGACAGGAGACTACATCTGTGTTATTCCCCATTATGTCCCCAGCGTCTGGGAGAGCCTAGCACCTGGTAAATGCCCAAGAAACAGGTGTTGAACGAGTAAGTGCCTCCTGTGAGCTAAGCCCTCTTCTAAATGCAGCAAGGCCAACGTTTAATAGAACCAGTGTGGCCTTGTTCACATGGGCCTCTGGTCAAAACTCACATTGAGGCAACCACTAAAGGGGAGAGGTGGCTTCACGCGCTCGCCTTGGTGGCTGATTGTATGTGTTGGGGTGGGGAGAGGGAGGCTCATGGCCTGAGTGTTTGTATGTAAGTGCCTCCTGCCAGTGTCACTCCCAGAGTTCCAACCTGGAGCCTGGTCAGGGATGACAAATAAGTTGCAACTCCAGTGGCTCCTAGTGGCTGCCTGAGGACCGTGCTATGAAAGATTCTGCAGCTGTGACCGGGCTTTCTGGGAAAGAGTGCATGGATTGATTAGCCATGTCTGTTATGGCAATGGAAGGGAGAGAGATATATGCATGCCATGTGTTTGCCATCTCTGCCATGGTGGTCACTCCACTTCACTGTATGAGAAGTGGCCCTTTTCTTGACCTTCAGGTCCTGCCTGCCTAGGGCTACTGGCCAGAACTGCATGATGGGCAGGGCTCTAGATCTGGCATTGCCAGCTCCCATTTGGTATCTGAATCCCCAGCTATTTGGTCTTCAGGAGCCTCCAGTCCACCTGCTAAATCCCCAGATGGTGTTATAAATTTCTTAAAGGGATGGATTTCCATGGGCCTTCCATAATACTGGGAGTGACTTGTTAATGGAGGAATTCAAGATGCCCGTAGCAGGTGGTAAAGGAGCGCCATCATTCATTCATGCAGTCATGAATAGCTATACTGAGCCCCTCCTACCTGCCAGGCACTGTGCTAGGCCCTGACATGCAGAGGAACTGTTCTTACCCCGGGGTAGACTCTCAGGAAGTATTGTATTTAAAAAATAATTGCATCACTTAGTTCATGCCCTCATGGTCACAGTGTGGAGGGGAAGACAGAAGAGTGAGCAGGAAGTTATGCTTCAGAGTCATAAGGGCACAGAGGAGAGCCCCTCCCCCAGTTCTGGCTGGTCTCAGAGGGCTTCTGCAAGCGGGGACGTCCTCACTGAGACCTAAAGAGTGAGAAGGGGTGAGCCTGGAATGGGATAGGGAGGGAAAGCAGGAACAAGCAGCTCATGGAAAGTCCTCAGGTGAGAGCCTGGCAGCCTCAGAGATCTGCAGATTTCTCTGTCTAGCTAGAAGATCATGGTGTCAGAAAGGAGAGTAGTAAAGGGATGGATGGAGAGGTGATCAGGAGAAAGGTCACCAAGTGCCCTGTCTGTCATGTTAAGCTTGCGTTTCAAGGGCAGTCAGGAGCCACTGAAGGATCTATAATCCAAGACTCTCCTTGACCAGCGCTCCTTTCTAGGAGAGAGAGAGAAAGAGAGGGGGGGGGGAGGGGGGGGGAGGGAGAGAGAGATTGAGAGAGAGAAATATCAGTATGATATTCTAGCTTACTCATCAACAGTGTATGAACTTGTCTCTTTACCACCTCTTCACGCTCACTGGGTATTATTTTTTTCAACTCTTTACCCATTTGCCAAGAGCAATATGGTTTTAGTTGCCATTTCTTTATTTCCTAGATAGGTTGACCATTTTCCCATTTGCATATTGACCCTCTTGGATTTTCCTTTTTGGTGAATATCTTTTCTCCTTCCTTACTGGTCTTTAAGGCGAAACCAGATCCAGGGCCTCCAGGAGAATGTGCGGAAGCTGCCGAAGCTACCCAACCTGTCCCCACTTGCCATCAAGCACCTGTGGATCCGCACGGCCTTGTTTGAGAAGGTCCTGGACAAAATTGTGCATTACCTTGTGGAAAACAGCAGGTGAGCCGGAAAGACCAGACACCTGGGTGCACTCTGCCTCCACCTGCTGGCAGTCTTGGAAATTGCACCCCTCCCACAAAGCCACTTTCTTTTTGACCCCTTGATGTGCACTTAATTTAAAAGTTACTAAATACTGGTCGTCTGGACATTTGAATTTGAACCGGCCTAGATTAGAATCTTGGGAATATTCAGGTGTTTAGTAGCAATGCGGGGTCTTCGCATTTGGAATGGGTTATAGGATCTTGAGATTTTGGTGATCTGTCTTCTCCAGCGAGTTAAGCCCACAGTCTACTTGCCGCCAACCATATGGCTGTAGGGAAATCACTTAGCTGCTCTGTGCCTGTTTTCTCTTTTGGTAAGTGGGATAGGGATTGCTGCCACTTCAAAGAAGAGATGAGAAAGGGAGTTAGTCATTTTGGAAGTGAATAATGACTCTTTCTACATCTTCTCTCCTGGCTCAGAATTACCTGATGTAAAGGTTTTATAGTATGAGTCCTCTTGGCAAGCATTTATCCCTGTATTCATGTATTCATCCAAATAAGTATTTAGTGATCATCTACTATGTGCCAGGCACTAACCTAGATGTTGGGGATACATTGCTTTTACCTGTCATATTATGCCAAGAGCAGTGGGGGAGCCCTGAAGAATCTATAGTTTGAGATTCCTCGTGGCCAGTACTCCTTTCCAGCCAGAGGGAGAGAGAGAAATATCTAATAATCTCCCCATCTTTTGGGATATGAAAGTGCCTGTTTAACTTAACTACATCTTCACACACAGTGGATATTGGGTAATAAAAGAATATATTTTATTCTTTGCCTGTTTGCTGGGAAAATATGTATGCAAATACAGAGCAAGGTCCTTTCCCTCATGAAGCTGACATTGTAACAAGGGAAACAGTCAAGTAGTAATTTAATAATATGTGGCGAGTGTTCCAAGACAAGAGGGTGGTGTTTCACCTCCTCCAGGTGCTTATGGAAAGTGTCCTGGAAGGTATGACAGTTAAGCTTCCATTTGAAGGGTGTGTGGGCATTAACCAGGTGAAGGGGGTGGGGAAGAGTGTTCCCAGAAGAGGGAACAGCAGGGACCTTGAGGCAGGAGAGGAACTGAAAGAAATCCAGGCTCTGGGGCTGCAGTTAATCTCTTCACCTTCTTGTAAATTGTAACACATCTCTGTCCCCTGCCCTGTCCCCAGGGCCTCTGAGGTTACTGCCTGTGGTGTGTGACCTTGTGTTTTCCTACTGAATATGTCAGTCAAAAAGAATGAGTAATTATTTGAGCATCAATGCTAACCTGCTGTTGCTTCATTAAACTTTGTATTTTGAATTTTAGATTCACACAGAAGTTGCAACATTAGTACAGGGAGTTCTTGCCTCCCCCCAATGATAGCATTCTACACAACCAGACTACAAGACCCAAAACAAGAAGTTGCCATTGGTACAACATTGTTAACTAAACTACAAGCTTTATTTGGATTTCACCAGTTTTTACATATACTCATGTTTTTGCTATGTAGTTCTCTGAAATGTTAAAACGCGTTGTTTCGTATAAACATCACCACACTCAGGAAGAAGAACTGTCCGACAGAAACCCGTCACCTTAAAGAAACTTTTTCCGGTACCTTTACTGTCACACCTTTCTCCCGGGCCTCCCTGATGTCTTTTCAGGCACCATTTCCAAGGTCACATAACTGCCAATTTTTGGAAGGGACACGGAATGGTGGAATGGAAAATGTCTCGAAGCATTATCTTTATATCTGACACTAAACTGTATAAACTTGATGTTGAGCATGCCTGGGGCATGTCAGTTATGCCTCAACCAATATTCTGGTTGGTAGGAGATTTCTTTGGGGTAAAATTACAATGATGCTGCAGCAATTTAGTGAGAAATTCCTGGTGTCAGAGTTGGTGCTGTTGCTGTACATGCAGGTCAACATTTCATCCTCCCAACAGCCTGGATAGATGCGTCTCATTCTTTCCATTTTGAATCGAAGCTCAGAGAGGGTAATCCCCTGCCCAGGGGCACACAGCGCGGGAGAGAGTAGCCAAGAGGGGCTCCCCCTCGGTCTATCTGACTCCAGATCCTTTGCCCTTCATCCCCGACTATAGGATGCAAAGAGCCAATCCACCTGGGTGTGGCCTCCAGCAAGTCACTTACCCAACCTGGGACTGAGATCCGTCAGGAGGTCAGAACAAGGTCCTCTCCAACTCTGAAATTCTGTTATCTTTAGACTGACTAAGGTTTGCACAGACTTACACACCACTACACAGCTCAAACAAAGGCTGAAAACATTCAGCACAAACCCTGCATATGATGGCTTCTCGTGTTATTTTGAAGAGCCAGAATCCCAGGGTGTGTGTCAGGCCAGCATTGTCCACATTAGTTATCTGGACAGGAAGGCCTGTTCATACAGCCTTTTGGGACAAGGACAGCTGAAAAGCATTTTATCGCCTCAATAATATTAGAGGGCTAGATATCATCTGTGCCTCCTAATGACTTCCTGTCTGAAATGGAAGATGCGGTAGAAGCAGACAAAACCAGCCAGGCCTCAGCAGCCTTCTAATTATTCCCATTACCTCATTAAGGCTTTTATTACAGTCGTGTATTAAGCAGTGACATGCTCAGCCCCAGAGAGGGTAAGCGACTTGCTGGAGTGACTGTGCTAAAATCAGTGCCTTACATCTGTTGTCTCTCTTGAAAGTCCTTCCAAAAACCCTATGCGATACATTATCATCTTCCTGTTACGGGTGGGGCAGCTGAGGCTTACAGAGGTAACCTCATGACAAGAGGGAGTGTGAACCCATCCTGTCTGCTTTTAACCACCAGGCCATGGTGCACCCTCTGCCGGTCACTTCCCAAACCTGCATGTTCTTTCCTCTCTTGCTAGTAAATACTATGAAAAAGAAGCACTCCTGATGGACCCTGTGGATGGCCCCATCCTTGCGTCTTTGTTGGGTAAGTGGTCCAGCGCTCTGAGCTTCCTGTGTCTCTCCAGTCCCCGCTCACAGGGCCCCTCCTAAGGGCCTCGCTCACCTCCCTCCAGCCTCCCCCATTAAACTCACTTGTTCCCTGTCTGTTGCTCCCAGGGTCTTGTTTCTCGCCTTAGCAGGACTCTGGGGCATCCTAGCTGACCAGAGGAGAGGGATAGTGCAATGGGTGGCCCACCTGGAGGTAGACGGGAAGGCAGACTTTCAGGGGCCAAGGATTACCAGCCCCTCTGCTCTGCAGTGGGGCCCTGTGCCTTGGAATACACCAAGATGAAGACGGCGGATCACTTCTGGACCGACCCCTCTGCTGACGAGCTCGTCCAGAGGCACCGCATCCACAGCTCGCACCTGCGACAGGACTCGCCCACCAAGCGCCCCGCCCTCTGCGTGAGTGGGGTGGGCAGTGAGACCCTGTGGGGGAATCAGGCTGAGTTCCTGACTGGGCGTGGGGGCAGGGGATGGAGTGGGGCCTTGAAGGTCACTCCAGCCTCATCCTCTACCTCCGCTCACACTGCCAGATCCAGAAGAGGCTTTCGAGTGGCAGCATGGATGACCGCCCATCCCTCTCTGCCCGCGACTATGTGGAGTCCCTGCACCAGAACTCCAGGGCCACCCTGCTGTATGGCAAGAACAACGTTCTCGTTCAGCCGGTGAGAGCTCATTGTGGGCCCAGATCTTCCACTGGGGGTCTGACTCCATGTTATAGAGAAGTTCCCTTTGGCTCTAGGTTGCCCATTCATTCATCCACCCACCTACTCACCCACCTATTCATTCATCTGCCAGTATTTTCTCTATCCATTCATTCATCCATATGCTGCTATTTCCTTCATTCATGCATCCACATGCCAGTATTTCCTTCTATCAAATCCATCCATGCATCCACCCATATGTCAATATCGTCAGCCAGCCTATCACTTCTCTTGCAGTGTCTATAGCCACCATCCTTCTGTTTCTGCACTTCCCACCATTCCTTCATCCATCTTCCTGTATTTATGTCCACTCACCCATCCATCCATCCATTTGTCCATTTATTCTCTAGACCATCTGTCCATCTACCTGTTCATCCAGCCATCTCTTCCTTCATTCTCTCGTTACCACTCATTCAGCACACCTTTATACGGAACCTACTAAGTGTTAGATGCTTAGGATAGCAAGATAAACATCTTCATAGTTAATATTAAGCACTTCCTATGTGTCAGGCACTGTGCTAAGTGCTTTTAATTATATCAACTCATTTAAACTTCACAAGAACCATTTGAGGCAGGTGCTGTTATCCTAGCTGATTACACTGCGGCCCATGAGGGCAGAGTAAGGCACAGAGTTATTTGAATTCAGGATGGCTGGTGCCAGAAGTTGCCACTCACCAGTCACCCTCTGTGCCCTGCACTGGGCCAGGCCCCAGGAATAGCGATGAGCAGGCATATGGTGTCCCTCCCTTCATGGGAATTCTCCTTTGCTGTCCCCTCCTGGGGAACACTAGGGTCAGTGTAGTGTTTGGGCTCAGCTGAGAGGAAGCAGAGTGACAGCTGTTGGCCACCCAGCTCTGTTGTCACCGTTACAATCACTGGGTGACCCTGAGCAAGTCACTCCTCAGTATCCACATTGTAGTGGGTACAGCACCCTATTTCCTGAGACCTAAGAAGCATCCATTTAAGATGCACCATTTTTTATATGACTATCAGGAAATTGAAAGTGCTATTAAATTATATACAGTGTTTTCTCTCTACTTGAAACTCTTATGTGTTTTGAAAGCTCTTTGAGATTTATTTGGATATAGTTTTTATAAATGCCAGGCCTCCTTCCAAGAACTTTTCTCCACATGTGCAGTAACCACCATGCACAAAACTTAATTGCAATAACAATATGAACAGCTGTGACTGAGTGTACATGCGTCAGGCAATGGTAACGGCATCCCAGTGGTGGGATGCTGCTGATTATAAGATGCATCCTCGTATTCAGGCACATTGAAATGTGAAAGACAGATGTGCATCTTAGAATGGATGAAAGACTGCGACTGTGCCCCCTTGGTGGGGCTGCAGGCTTGGGTGGTTCAATTGAGACATGTGACCCTGAGCCATACTGGATACATACCAGATGCTCAGTAAATGTTAGTTGTTGGTCTACAAATGTTGAGGTGAATTTGGTGGAGCAGCTGCCGCCTCTATGGGTGAGGCTTAGAGACACCCCTCTCCAGTCCCTACCCCACTTGGGATTACAGTATAGCAGGTGAGAAGCTCTGCAGGCAGATTGGGAAGCCAGAGGCTCAGGCTGCTGGGCGGGGAGGATGCTGCGGGTATGTGGGGAGGGGCTTCTGGGTAATGTCTCAGGGAGCAGACAGAGGTTAGCTGCAATTTTTTTCTCCCTTAAGACTGGCTAAAATGATGGTGGGTAAGTGTCTTTTGCTTTGAAAAAGGTGATGTTGAGAGGGACAGAGCTCCTCCTCACTTCTAAAGAATTCCCAGGTCCTCCCTTGCAGCAGGGCCCTGGACCTCAGAAGGGAGGTGTGGGTATGAAAGTGCAAGGGGCAGGCAGCTCTCACAGCTGGGTCTACTAGTATAACAACCATCCTGGGTGGTTGGCTGCAATAGCCTTGCTTAGTATGGCCACCTAGAAGGAAGTTCAGGGTCTTCCAAATAGCCATGACCTTGGAGGGAATGACCCAACCTCTTGATTCTGGTTATGTGTCCTTGAGTCCAATGGACCATGTTAACTGTTCACCCTGGCACTACAACCAAGCCTGAATCCTTCTCTCTCTACAGAGGGATGACATGGAGGCTGTCCCAGGGTACCTGTCCCTGCACCAGACTGCTGACCTCATGACCCTGAAGTGGACACCCAACCAGCTGATGAACGGGTCTGTGGGAGATCTGGACTATGAGAAGAGGTAGGGTGCCAGGTCCCTCCCCTCCCCTTGGCACAAGGAAGTTTGTGCCCTGTCCCTTGTGCCCTGCCCCTACCTGCTGCTCCATCCGATTGTTACAGCCGCTTGGCCCAGCCTCCCTACGGCAGTGGCCTCATGGGGAACTCAAGAATTCGGGAGGATCCAGTAACCGACTGGAAGAATCTTAGGGTGTGGGAACGAGGCAGAGCCCTGGCCAAAACACCACCCAGAAATAACATTTTTTAAAAATATATTTCTTTATTGATTCAGAGAGGAAGGGAGAAGGAGAGAGAGATAGAACCATCAATGATGAGAGAGAATCATTGATTGGCTGCCTCCTGCACACCCCCTACTGGGGATCAAGCCCCGCAACCCAGGCATGTGCCCTTGGCCGGAATCAAACCTGGGACCCCTCAGTCTGCAGGCTGACACTCTATCCACTGAGCCAAGTCGGCTCAGAAATATCTTAACAAAGATTTCATAAGTTTGGCCAAATCAATGGGGAGTTCCCAGGCTAAAGTCTACCATTGGAGGAGTCCCCTGTCCCACAGGAATAGGCCCCCACTGGCCCCACTTGTGCTCAGTCCTGGCGGAGAGGGGGTGTGGCCTTGGCATAGCACAGCGGCGCATCCAGGGGCGTGGCCTCTCTTGCCATTGGTCAGCTGCTCCCCACAGCAAAGTCTTGGGTCTCCTGAAGGAGACCTGAGCAGTGCATTCCTGTGGCCCCACCTCCCATTGTGTTCTGAGGGGAAAAGCTGAAAAAGGCAAACCTGCAGTAAATCACAGGGCCCGTTAACCCAGCACTTTTTAGAATGTATCAGTGCCGTGTTGAGCCCTTCAAATGGGCAATTCCATTTAATCCTCATAGCAATACTATGCAGTGGGCATTAGCATCCTCATTTGCAGAGGAGGAAACTGTGGCTCATAGAAGCCTCTAAGTCACCCTGCTGGGACCTGTGAAGTCAAGGCTGTTGAATGGCTGTTCTGATTCCTGCCCGTGGACATAGGGTGGCCTGAAGTTAGGATCAGCATTAGTCAAGACTCGGATACCAGTGACAGAAAACCAAACTCAAGCTGACTTAAGCATTTGCACACCTGAGCTGGAAAACCCTGGGGCAGTGGCTTCAGGCATGGCTAGATCCAGGGACTCAAGTGAGGAAGACCTGAACACTTTCCATCTCTTGGCTCTGCTTCCTGACTGTTGACTCCATTTTTTCTTGCCATAGCCTCACATCTCGACTTCTAGCATCCTTACCACTACTTTCCTAGCATAAAGGAGCATCTGTTCCCCAGTAATTCTAATATACATTTGATAATTGAATCTCATTGGTTCTGCTTATGTCATGAGGTCATCCCTGAACCAATCAATCACTGTGGCCAAAACAGTAGGATATGTTGATTGGCCAGGCCTCAGTCAGGTGGCCATTCTGTGGAGTGGAGGCAAGGGAGGAGGGGACCAGGGAAGAGGAGATAGTCTGGGAAGACCGTGATACAGATGTTAGGGTCAGGTGGGTCCTGGTGAGAAGAGTGGAGGAACCCATGGGTGTGGTCTTCTGGCCTCCCCGACGGTGATGTGGACAGACATCCTGCAGCTCTGACTTCCCTCACCTTCCAGCGTCTATTGGGACTATGCCATGACCATCCGCCTGGAGGAGATCGTCTACCTGCACTGCCACCAGCAAGGTAGGGACTGCCCGCCTGCCCCCCTGTTGCCTACGCAACCTCAGGCAACTGACTTCACCTCTCTGAGCCTCAGTTTCCCCTCAGTGGGGATCCTACCAGGACCTACTCATGGGGTTATTGTGAGGATCAAGTGGCATGTGTTAAGATCTCAGCATCAAACCCATGGTGTTAGTTGCTAATACTGAGCAATTATGGTGTGCCAAGCATGGCTCTGAGTATTTACATGCCTGTTACTTAATCATCACAACAACCTAGTGATAAGGGTTCCGTCACGGCCAGTTCACAGGTGAGGAAGCAGCATGGCACAAAGACATGCAGCTTATAAGCTCCAGAGCCTGGACTTGAACCCAGGTCTTTGTCACTCCAAAGTCAGTGCTCAGCCGACCTGGGATTAATAACTAGCATTCCCCTTTAAAGCTCAAGGAAGACATATTTATAATAAGCAGAGAGCCATGCTGCTTTGGAAAGCAAGGGACCTGTGGCCAACCAAGATGTAAAACATATAAGCTTATTTAATGAGGTGGAACTGGGTTCCAGTCCACACCCTGCCATTTACTAGCCGTGTGACCCTTGGCAAGTTATATAACCTCTCCGAGCCTCGGTTTTATCATTTGTAAACTAGGCAATAATAGATATTTTGAGTACTACAATAAGATGGCACCTTTAACGTGATGTGTTTATGTACAGTAAGTGCTCAATCCGTGCTACTGACAGTTACTCCTGCACTGAGAAAGCCTCCATACAAAAATAGATCAAGTAGATTTGTAAAGGGTGCCTGAGGGGTATGGGTGTTGAGAGGCAGCCTTTCCCTTTGCTGGAGGCTTTAGGACATGTTCTTCTTGACCGTGTCCTACAGCTCCCGTCAACAATGATCATAGGTGGGATGAGAGGGACTTGGGGGAGGTGAAACTGCCCCTGACCTTCTGTCCAGACCTGTCCCAGAGCCTCAGCAGGTCCATTTATCGGCCTGGGGGTATGTGTTGGCCCGGAGGGCCCGTCACCATGCCTCTCAGTGACTTCCTGCTGGGTCTTCTGTGGTCGGTCACATGGCAGTGGACAGCGGCGGGACAGTGGTGCTGGTCAGCCAGGACGGGATCCAGAGGCCACCCTTCCACTTCCCCAAGGGAGGGCACCTCCTGCAGTTCCTCTCATGCCTGGAGAACGGGCTGCTCCCGCACGGGCAGCTGGACCCACCGCTCTGGTCTCAGCGGGGGAAGGTGAGTGATCGTGGCTGGGGGTGGGGTCAGCCAGGGTGAATGGTCATTCTTGCCCAGGAGCCCTTAGGTGGCTTTTCGGGCTCATGCGCACCCCGTCACGACCCTCATGACATCCAGTTGGGGGACAGGTGTGTCCCAGGGACTGTGCACTGGGACATGTTCTTTCAGGGCAAAGTATTTCCCAAACTGCGCAAGCGAAGCCCTCAGGGTTCTGCCGAGTCCACAGCTTCAGACAAGGAAGATGACGAGGCCACGGATTACGTGTTCAGGATCATCTACCCCAGCCTGCAGTCCGAGTTCGGTAAGTTGCTCTGTTCCTGGGCCCAGGGAGCCAGCCATTAGCTGATCCTAAAAATGAACTAGGCGTTTGGAAATAGAGGACGAGGGGTCTGGATTCTGGGCTAACGGGTGAACCTGGAATCAGGAAGTTCGTACCTTGGTGGCCTTGATTTGCCCCCATAGGAGAACAAATAACCACTCTCCTTAGCGAATGAAGATGCCACTGACTGGGAGGCGGCATGGTATGGTGGCAGTGACCTGGACTCTGGAAATCACGATGAACTTGGGCAAGTCGCTTTAACCTCCTATGCCTCAGTTTCATCATCTGGAAAATGGGGTGTCTACAGCACATATTTCATAGGGCTTTTGGAGAATTAAATTAGATAAGTCACTTGACACAGAACACTCAAATGTTAGCTGCTATTGTGTTATTATACTTCAACATATTGTAAGGATTTAATGAGATAATGAGGCGATCAATGTAAAGCCCTTAAAATAAGGTCTTGCACATAGTAGGCACTCAATAAATGATAGTCAAAGCAGCAAAGGGAAGCAAAGTGCTTGGCACTAGCACAGGAGATGAGCTGCCTGCTGATTGCCGTGAGACAGATGCTTAGTGAATGGAGATTGTTGCTATTAAGATGATCATTCTTACGGACTGTTGTTAGGATTAAGTGAATTACTATTTGAAAAGTTCTTGAAAGGAGGCCTGGCATTTATTAAGTACTGTGTGGACGGACGTCTGTAAAACAAATCAGTATTAAGTTATACATCCTTTCTGTTATTTAACCCTCTGTGACCCTATTGATCCGATCAGATGGGTAATGGCTTGAAGCCTCCCTTTGCTTAAGTGACCTTGGCTGCGCAGTGAGAGGCTCTTTGAAAGCAGACGTCCTTCCAGCAAGGTTGAACTAGCCATGTCCAGCCACTTAGTGCTCCATCTCTCATCCATCGCCGAGTTGGATTGGCAGTAAGATCCTACAGGGCTGGGTTAGTGTATTTCCATCCATATATTCCTTCCTGAAGAGCCAGAGTGTCCTGAAGTGTTCCTTAGCATGTGCACTCCTGCCCAGGCTGTCTGTGCGCACAGCCCCACCAGAGAGCTGGTTCATTAGCCAAGACCAGATGCCCTGTGGCCACCTTCCCAGAAAACTCTCTCCACAGGGGCTCATCCTCCAACAGGCTCTTGCCGGAGCCAGGCTGGATTCCCTTATTTGGGGAATATCAATGCTAGCTTCTTGTGGCTGCGTGTGCCACCAGGACAGACGCTAGGATTCAAGACGCTAGGATGCACAATCCGTTGTGATAGGGGCTGTCCTGTACGCTGAAAGATGTTGAGCAGCATCCCTGGTCTCCACCTACTAGATGCCAAGTGGCTAGTCCATCCCTTGCCCACCAAGTGTGGCAACCAGAAATGTCTCTCGTCATTGGAGGAAACTGGAAGAAAATTGTCTCAGGCTGAGAACTGCTGGTTCAGAGAAAAGCTCACATCAGTGCATTCAACTCGGCCACTGTGTGTGGGGCGGTCGAGGTTGGGGTACAAGGTGAAGGTTCAAGTTCCGAAGACTTGGTTCTTCTGGTCGGTTCAGTGTTCTGCCCGCCTCAGACTTTCCATTTCACTGGTGCTTTTTGTTTTGTGTCTCAAGTTGTTCCCGACCCCTTGGGCAGCACATCCTCGGTCTCCGTGGGCCCTGCCTGGACGGTGGTTCCTGTGGGCCGGTCCATGCTGGTGGTGGCCAGGGGCAGTCGGTGGGCCCAAACCAGATGGGACGCCACCCTTCCCATACCAGGCTTGAAGCAGCAGCCCCCCAGTAATGTCTGGGTCCCCCCATCCCTGGGACTGGGTGCCAGCCACCTCTGCCATGTTGTCATTTGAGTCTTGGTCCTAGTGGAGATGGAGGTGAAAGACAAATAAGTACCCTTATGCTGTCCAGTTGGTACCCTGCGTGATGCAGCTTGGAGTGCTGTGGGTTCAGTAGTGAAGGGATCCATGGGTGATGTCTACAGGGTGGGAGGGACTGGGGGCAGAGGCATGCCTGCCACACCTGGGCACAACTGATCAATGCTTCCCTGAGATTGGCTAAGAACTGGGGCTGTTTTTCTAGAACATTTTACAGGGGCTTGCTGGTCATTTTTGGCCAGCTCCTTGGTGAGTCTGCTTGGGAAGGTTTAGTGTAACAAGCCAGTTTGGGTGGCCCCCAAAGCCTCATTCTGGAGGCGGCTTTGTCCTACGTCATTGGGTAGGAGCTGACCCTGTCAGCCACTGCGCTCTGATGACAAGTGGGGCTGAGCCCACAACTACCCTCCCCTTGGAGCCCGAGAAAAGATGCCATATTACCACTCATCCTTGAGGACGCCTGGCACCAGGGTAAATATGCATCCCTCTTAATTTCCTGGAGCAGGGCTTGGCAAACATGGCCTGCAGGCCAAACCCAGCTTCATTCTGTACAGCCCGTGAGCTGAGAACGGTCTTTACATTTTTTGAATAATTGAGAAAAAAAATCAAAAGCAGAATAATATTTTGTGACAGGTGATAATGATATGAAAGGCACATTTCAGTGCCCATAAAGTTTTATTAGAACATACCCATGCTTGTTTGTTTACATTTTATGTATGGCTACTTTTGCCCTACAACAGCAGAGTTGAGTGGCTACAATAGCAACCAACTGGCTCATAAATCCAAAACTATTTTCTACTTGGATCTTTACAGAAAATATTTTTTGAGCCCTGTCCTAGAGAAAATAATTTTTGCACCTGTCTTGAACTGCCAGGGGGCCAAGAAGTTAACTGTAGAAATTGTGATGTATATGTCACCAGTATGTTTGTCCTGCAGCGGCACAGATCCTGCGGTGTTCTTGGAGCTGGGAAAGAAAACAGTGAGGGAAACTTAAGGGCCATATTCCTGGGAGCAGTTGAGCAGGAATCACCAATGTCCAAGAGTTAGGAGATCAGTCGTGCTTTCTTGGTTTTCAAATGTGGTTGCTATATCAGAATTATTTTTGAAATATAGACTCAAGGGATGTATGACCAGGAGGTTTTAATTGGGTACGTCAGGGGTGGGATACAGGCTTATGGCTTTTTAATAAGCCCCCGCCCCCATGTGATTCTGGGGGTGGCCAGCCTACTTGAGACCCATTGAAGCAGCTGGATCAGGACCACGGACAGCACAGGTACCCTCTTCTAGTCAGTGGGAGGCTCCACTGGGTTCTCACCCATGTGTGCCCTGCCTCATCAGATGAGTCAGGCTCCCTCTGTCTCACTGGACAGAGGACTGGAGACCATCTGCCTTCCCCAGAAGCCCCCAGCAGGTCCCCGTCCTTCCATGTCAGCCTCCTGTGAGGACAGCTGAATGACAACATGGTGTGAGGCGTGGCCTCCTACTCTGGGATTGGGCCTGTTTTCTTGGCTCTGGTCTCTCTCTGGGTTCTCTTCCACTCTCTACCGTCATCAGCTCTGCCCATTTGCTGGGGGCCCCAAATTTTGGTGGTGGCTTTCACTGGATCAGGATGGCTCAGGAACTTGGGTCAGACAACGATTGTGGTCGCTGTTTCCTACTGTGACATTAAGGGGCTTTTCCTATTCCTGTGCTGGCCTAGGAGTGAGCGGCTTGTTTTGGGGTGAGGCTTCTGTAACCCACATATGCTCAATCAGGGCTCTTCTTCTGCCTTTCTACTCCCCACAGTGCCCCAGGACCTGATGGATGTCTCCATGAGCAACCTGCCATCGCTATGGCAACCCAGTACCCACAAATCCTCTTGCTCATCCTGTTCACAGAGTGGCTCAGGTGATGGTGGCTCAACCAATGGCTGCAAACATGAGAGGTATGAGGGGCTGGAGCTGTGGAGGGAGGGAATCGGAAGGATTTACCAAAGATTTGGAGATACCTGTTACTTGCCTTGCGCTGACTTCAGAGGCTCCGGAATCATCCAGATCCAGGTTAAATCCTAGCCTTGTGAAGTCCTAGCTGTTGGAGCTTCCTTACATGGAAAAAGAACGTATGTCGCAGAACAAACAGCCCTAAAATCTCAGTGGCTATTACAACAAAGGTTTATTTGTCTTGCATGCTATGTGTCTGTTATGGATCAGTTGGAGACTCTGCTTTCTGCATATCAAAGGCCCGGCTGATGGAGCCACCACCATCTTGAATATTGCCAATCACAGTGACTGAGGGAAATGGCATGGAGGGACTCGAAGCTGCATTTACTTATTTTTTTAAATATATTTTATCGATTTTTTACAGAGAGGAAGGGAGAGGGATACAGAGTTAGAAACATTGACGAGAGAGAAACATGGATTCAGCTGCCTCTTGCATGCCCCCTACTGGGAATGTGCCGCAACCCAGGTACATGCCCTTGACCGGAATCGAACCTGGGATCCTTCAGTCCGCAGGCCGATGCTCTATCCTCTGAGCCAAACCAGTTAGGGCATCAAAGCTGCATTTATTTATTTGTTCATTTATTTATTTTCATTTATTTTATTTTATTTTTTTATCTTTAAATTCTTTATTAGTTAAGGAATTTAAATGCCCCAGGTCAAATGAGGCACCTGTCATTTCCACTCACACCTCATTGGCCCTGTCTACAAGGAGCCAGGAAGTGGAGTTCCCCCTTGCACTTCCAGACAGAAACCAGAAATACTACTTAATGACAACCACACATGCCTAAATGGGACACTAATGCTTACTTTATATAGCTATTGTAAGGACATATCAAATAATGGTTTGAAGTGGCCAACATGTGCTACATGGTAATGCTCAATAAATTACACGCTATTTTATTGTATAAGTTACATCCCAAGATCAACTCTTTCTTTGCACATAGAGCTTTGGTCTCTTTGGAAGAAGGACGCGGCCCACTCATGAGAATGGTCTTGTTTCCTGCTGACCTGGCCTGGCCTACACGAGTGGAATGCGCTTTTCCCTTCTGGGCCTCTGTCCCAATGGGTGGTCAGTCATCAGCTGTAGGAACATCAAGGGCAGGGGGCTGGATTCAGATTTTTTAAGCCTTCTAAGCCCTGGGGACCAGAAACCTTACCATCCGAGCAGATTCTCAGTCTCTCATCCCAGACCTCCTGAAGCAGAATCTGCATTTAACAAGATCCCAAGACCATGTGTACCTTTAAGTTTGAGAAGCACTGATATAACCGAGAGCCTAACATGTTATTGTGCGTCAGAATCACCTGGGGGACGTAGGAAAACCTACTGGTGCCTGGACTACTTCTTGGCGGTCCTGACTGAGTGGGTCTGTGTGGGGCCCAGGAATCCACGTGGTGGAGAAATTCCAAGTAATTAGGGGCTTGTGGTCCATGGACCACTGAAAAGTGCTGTTCTAACTTAGTACCCCCTTTCACTGTATCTGTTTACACACTTCTAGTGACAGGGAGCTCACCACCTTGCAGGTAGTTAAGCACACTATGGGACAGCTGTCAGTGAGATGCTCTTCTCATGTAATCCGAGTCTTGCCAACCTGAGGGCAGAAAGAGGGTGCCTTTAAAGTTTAATGCCTCCAGGTGTACCTGGGGGACTTCGGCCATGCTTTCTACTCAGTGTTCCCGGGTTTTCCTGGGTGTCCTCTGGGATCATTTTCCTCTACTCTGTTTTTCGCAAGAAGGTACAACACTCTCTTCAGCAGCCCTTATTTTCTACAACAATGCTGGGGCCTTATTCCTCTCTCCTCTTCAGCCAAAAAAGCCCCCCAGAATTCCCATGCAAGGAGAATTTATGCGGCATCACCTGCTTTGCAATCAGCTAGACTCTGAGTCCCAGTTTGGCTCAGTTTGGTTCAGGGGGGTCACTTCAGAAGTCAGAATTCTTTCTGAAGGTGTCAGAAACCCACTTCAAACTGGTTCAAGTAAAAAGGAAAATCTGACAGACTTGAAAAGTCCACAGGTGCAGTGGCTTCAGGTATGGCTGGATCCAGATACTCAAAACAGGAATCTGTTTTTTTCTTTGGCTCTTGCTTCTATTTGCCACTATGATGGTTTCATGGCTTAGGCAGGCCCTTCTATGCAGTAGCAAAAATGGATCCCAGATGCCACTGCCCATATCCCATTGGCTTTGGAACTTAATCAGGGAAAAGAGTGTCTGTTTCCCAGTTACCCCAACCAAAGTCCCAGGGCTGATTCTCATTGGCCCAGGTTGGGTCACATCACCACCTCTGGCCCAATCACTGTGATTCCAATGTGAGTCATGCACTGGGAAGAATCAGCTCTACCCAAGCCATAGGGACAGAGTTATGGAGTGACTCCCAAGCAGATAGCAGAAGGGGCAGTGATGCTGTATGAACAGAAATAATACCCCCACAGTCCCCTTGACCGGCTGGCTTTAATCTGCTCCTAGAGATAACGAGTTGTCTCCTCTCCAGGAAACCTGGGCTGTGGGTGGGTCTGTCCTAAGTGTCTCTCTTTTCCTCCACCGGCAGGGCTCCCCTGAAGCTTCTCTGTGACAACATGAAGTACCAGATCCTTTCCAGAGCCTTCTATGGATGTGCGTATTGACCTTATTTGCCGTCGTGATCTCCAGGGAACATTCATTGAGTGCCTGTGACGTGCCATCAATATCGGGGGGAGGAGCCTGGCTCTGGAGTTTGAACCCATGTTCCTCTATTTCCTAGATTCCTGGTTTCAGTGACATGATATTAACTTCTCTGAGCCTCAGTTTCCTCATCTATAAATTGGAGATAAATATACTTTGATCCTAAGAGAGGGCAGTGAGCAATGGGGTTCCTTGGTGGCAGGGGTTTGGTTTAATTGCCATTGCATCCCCAGTGCCCACCGTAGAGTGTTTGTCTTCAGGACTGAATGAGAAGCATGCATAAAGCCCCCGCAGCTAGTGCTGCACATCACAGGTGCTCATAACGGCCTGTTCCCTTTCCCTGTGGGCAGGAGCAGAAGAGAAAGGTGGCCTGATCCCTTCCCAAGAACTTAAAAATGAAATTCATAATATAAGTACTCTGATTATTTCATTTTAACCGATGAGGAAACGCAGGTACAGAAAGGGGGAAATGACTTGCCCAAGGTCACACAGCTAATAAGCAACAGACTCAAACCCAGGTCTGCCTGACGCAAAGGCTATGTTTTTCCCTCACTCTGCTATATCAGTTCTTAGCAGGGTTTAGTTCCCCAGCCTCTCAGCCTAGGTGTGTGTATTTCAGGATTCTAGAAAAGCGTTAACACATGCTGCATGGGCCTGTGAAATAGCAGTGCAGGTCCTATCCCTGAGTGCCTGAAGAGGCAGGGAGAGTGTGAACTCTCCAAGATCAAAGCTTTTGCCTGTTCTGGGCTGACCCATCCCCAGTGCCTAATGCAGGGCCTGGCATGGAGCAGGCATTGGGTGAGTATTTATGGAACCCAAATGGAAGAACTTCCTGGAGGAAGGGGAGAGGGTTTAAAGGGATCTTGAATGATGTCCTCACATGATGTGGCTCATCCCTGATGGCAGCTGAGAGCCCAGGTTCTGGAACTAGGCAGTTTGGGTTCAAATCCCAACTCCACGCTTCCTAGCTATGTAACCTGAGCAGGTGATGAAACCAGTCAGTGCTTCAGTTTCTCCATCTATGAGATGGGGATAAGAGTACCCACTGTGGCGAGAATTAAATGAGTGAAGTTAGGTAAGCTCAGGTGGCAGCTCCCTGGCACGTACGTAGTATGTGCTATGTAAGTGTTAGCCATCATCATCATCATCATCATCATCATCATCATCATCATCATCACTGTTGGTAGGGGCGAGTCCTCAGGCTCAGGAAGGTCCAGGGTCCTCTCTGGGAGTTAAGGATGAGATGGTGGGGGAGATCCAGAAGAAAGGTATGCAGTCAAAACCAGCACAAGCCAGTATTTGCCGGGTGCCTCGTGTTCCAGGCACCGTGCCCTCCAGGTGCCCAGGATGGGTTGGGTGAAGGTTGGCAGGCATTCTGTTTAGAGTGCAGGGCCATCTTTGAAAGCAAACCAGTGCCCTCAGCATCCTGTTGGTTATGACTCGCCGGGACCTTGTTTATCCAGCTCCACTTTTTCTCCCGCTCTCTTTCTCTCTGTGTGTGGATTGGAGGCACCCAGAGGCACAGGGAGCCCACCCCTACTCTGCTTCTAGCCTGTGAGTTAAATACCTTGGATTCTAGCAGAGGTGGTATCACCCTGACCAAGGTTGAGAAAGGTGACAGGACCACCCCACGGTCACAGAGCAGTTAAGCAGTCAAGCCCACAAGTGACTTCCCCCTCTGAGCCTAAGCTCCTTACCTGGAAAAGGGGGTGATGAAAACTCGTTGGGTCATGAGGGTTCAGGAAGGTTATGGGCAGCATCTTGGAGACTCTGAGACAAGGCAAGGAGGGTTGGATGGTGGATGATGACCCTTTATCTCCCCGCACAGGGCTTGCCTACTGCAGACACCTGTCCACCGTGCGGACCCACCTGTCAGCCCTGGTCAATCACATGATTGTGTCTCCAGACTTGCCCTGCGATGCTGGACACGGGCTGACGGCCGGGATCTGGGAGCAGTACCTTCAGGACAGCACAGTAAGGCTTGGCCTGGCTCGGCCTGTGGTGAGACTGCAGCAGGTGGGGGACATCTTGCAATCTAAGGAATAGACTTATCTGCTTGTGGGGACTCAAGGATGTTGTGATATCTTTGGGTTCTGCATACCAAAACTCAAGAGTTCTAAGACCCATAGCCTGCTTCTGCCCATTGGGGTGAGGATCAAGGAGGATGGAAAATACACATACTCTTCTGGAAGGAGTAAGAATCCATCAGTGGCCAAGCATTTATTAAGCACCAGCTGTATGCTCAGTCCTGCATGAGGTGCTATGAGTCCACAGTGAGCAGGAATTCATAATGCAGTCGAATCTACTTAGAATGATGAGAGGAGCTAAGTTAGAGGGAGACAGCTGTTAAAGTCATCCTAGTATGCCCCTAAATCATTAGTGTATACAGAACCAGCTACTAATGTTCACTGTGGATTAATTTGCTTTAAAACAATTTTCTTAGAGCTTAGTTGAGATGAAAAACTCCTAGATAATATTCCCAAATAAGCAAGTATACAAATTTGATTGAAAATTAGGTAGAAATATAAGTTCCTTATACCCTGGCTTTCCCTTTTTTCTTTTTTAAAATTTTTTTCTTTTAAATATATTTTATTGATTCATCACAGAGAGGAAGGGAGAGAGATAGAGAGTTAGAAACATCGATGAGAGAGAAACATCGATCAGCTGCCTCCTGCACACCTCCTACTGGGGATGTGCCTGCAACCAAGGTACATGCCCCTGGCCGGAATCGAACCTGGGACCTTTTAGTCCGCAGGCCGAAAGGCTCTATCCACTGAGCCAAACCGGTTAGGGCTTTTCCTTTTTTTCTTTAACAAAAATGAGTTCATACTAGACACGATCTGCATCTTGTTTTTTTCCACTAACAGTACACATTGAGCATCATTTTGTGTAGGTTCTCATAGATGCACCTCTCTACTCTCTGTGTGGTATTCCCATGTCGGGGTGTACTGTTCTCCCATTGGTGGGTAGTTGAGGGGTTCCCAGGGCTTTGCTCTTTCATATCACATTATAGTGGATATTGGGTGCATATGGCTTTGCTCATTCATGCCAGGGGTCCTAAGGGCTAGGTCTGAAAAGAAGAACTGCTGGATCACAGAGTCTGCCCCTGGCTTTCTGTTGACGAAACAAACCCTTTGCTCTCCCCTGTCCCCCCACCACAGAGTTACGAGGAGCAGGAGCTGTTGCGCCTTATCTACTATGGGGGCATCCAGCCCGAGATCCGCAAGGCTGTGTGGCCCTTCCTGCTGGGCCACTACCAGTTCGGGATGACAGAAACGGAAAGGAAGGAGGTTGGTTACCCTGAACTGCACTGGGTCTTTGGCAATCACAGGAGCCAGGTACTGTGAGGCTGGGGGAGCTCTGGTCCCATTTTGGACCAAGCTGGGCAGGGAGCTGGGGGGAGCCAGGAAGCTCAAGGGCAGCGCTCTCCAATAGAAATACAGCACAAGCCATGGATGTCATTTTTTAAAAATAAACTTTTATTTTGAGATAATTGTGGATTCACACCCTTCTTTATTACCTCCCACCTCGCCTTCCTGGCACATAGTAGGTGGTCAGTGAATGTGGGTTGAATGTTATGCCATGAATGTTAGATGGGTGCTTCCAGGGCTCAGGGTCCCAGCACTTCCGGTGACCTTGCATCTGCCCTGCAGGTGGACGAGCAGATTCATGCCTGCTATGCACAGACCATGTCCGAATGGCTGGGCTGTGAGGCAATTGTGCGGCAGAGGGAGCGGGAGTCCCACGCAGCTGCCCTGGCCAAATGCTCATCAGGGGCCAGCCTGGAGGGTCCCCTGCACCGGATGATGCACAGGGACTCCACCATCAGCAACGAGGTGATGGGCGGCTCACCTGAGGGAGTGGAGGGTGGGCGTGAAAGCCAGGATCTTCTCCATCAGGCTGTGGTAGGAATGGTGAGGACTGGGTGCCTGGGGCCTGGGGACAGAACCTCGTCCCTAGTTTTTGGGTGGAAGGAGACTTGGTAGTTTAACAGACCTAAGCTTGAACTCTAGCCCATTTTCTAGCCCTGGTGCTTCAGGCAAGCACCCATACTTCTGGGCCTCAGTTTCCTCATCTGTCAAAGGGAAATACTCATTTAGAGGGGAGGTTTGTGCACAGCTTAAATGAGTAGTGTACATAAAGCACCTACCACAGTGCTAGACTTCATTTATTCAACAAATGCTTATTGAGTGCCTACCATGTGCCAGGTACTGTCAGGAATGTTCTGAGATATCAGGAATACTTCAGTGACCAAGTCAGACATACCTGTTCTCACAGAGTCTCCAGTTTAGTGGCCCAAAGCAGGAACTGAAAAAAAAGTTAATTCTCTTCACTAGTGATGTATCAGCTATCATTTTGCTACACTAATACTGCGTAACAAGCAATCCTCAAAAGTCAGTGGTTTCCAACAACACACATTTCCTTTTTCTCGTGAGTCTGTGGGTCAGCAAGGCAGTTCTGAACTCTGAAAGTCAACTAAAAGTTTTGTTGACCTTCACAGAGCGCTCTCACCTGCCCGGACTGACTCATTTGCGCTCCACGTCCTACCCTTCAGCTGGTTACCTGGTATTTTCTCACAGTGAACGCAGATTATAAAGAGAGACATACACAAGCTCTTTTTCAGGCTCTGCCCTGGTGACTTTGCTAACATCCCATTGGCCAAAGCAGGTCACACTGCCAAGCCTAGCATCAGAGTAGGCAGGAAGTAGAAGTTATAGGGCAAAAAGCACAAATACAGAGAGGGAGTAAAAAAATCAGGCCATTCATACAAGTTACTCTGTGTCTAACTAAAATGTTAGCCAGAAGTCTCAAGTAGAGAGCAGTGACAGATGGGGTTTCCTGCTTGCAGGGGTGGGAGGTGGAGGCCCAGGGGCTGGTGGAGTGGACTCTGAAGATGCTCCAGGGAGCAGACAGTGAGACCCCCACCCCTTTCATTTCATAGATAGGAACCTGAGGCCTTGAGAGGGGGCCTCCTGAAGTCAGGAATAGAAATGAAACTAGACTTCTGACTCTCGCCCCAGCAACCCCTCCTGAGCTCAGTGCAGGGGCTCTGAGCCGGGATGCTGCAGCCTCACCCAGGCTCCCTCCTGCCTTTTTTCTCTCAGTCCTCCCAGAGCTGCAGTTCTGGCCACCAGAACATCCGCCTGCAGAGCGACTCCAGCAGCAGCACACAGGTGACCTTCCCAAGGCCACGCCCCCTACCGGCCCATCACCCTCCCTCCAACCTGGAGCAATAATGGGCTTGGATGCCCATCATCTCCGAGTCACTTACGGTTTATTTGTTTTAGCCGTTATACCAGCATTAAAGATTGAGTTTTTAATTACGTACGTAACCATGATCCATTTTCCCTGTAAAGAAGTTAAAATATTGCAGAGAAAGCTAAATTTGGCTTTGACTTCCATCATACAAACTTACGTGCACATAATTTAAGTAAAATATTAGTTAACAACATAAGGAACAGGTTAAACAAAGCATATTATATCCATGTAAATTCCTTAGTCATCCCTCCACAGAGTCAACTGCAATGCTTCCTTGCTTCTTTCTGGATTATTCTATGCATTTTCATACAGGTAGATTACTCTTTTATTCTTCACAAGTGGGAGCATGTATCGCACCTTGTCTTGCCTCACTCCTTTTACTGACTGGGCAGTGTTCCATCACATGCATGTTCCATATTTGAACCAGTCCCTGTTGATGAGTATTTAGGTTACTGCTGGAAGCAGTGTCCCTCCTAGTCCATCTGTCTTTGTGCACCTTGTCTTCAGGTGTTCGAGTCTGTGGACGAAGTGGAGCAGGTGGAGACAGAAGGCAGGTTGGAGGAGAAACAGCCCAAGATCCCCAATGGGAACCTGGTGAATGGCACCTGTTCCCCGGACTCCGGCCATCCTTCCTCCCACAACTTCTCCTCTGGCCTCTCGGAGCACTCGGAGCCCAGCCTGAGTACGGAGGACAGTGTCATGGACGCCCAGCGCAGTGCCTCCCTGGTGCTGCGACCCGGGGACAGCAGCGTGGACGAAGGGCAGAGTAGCGAGGCCACCACTTCCCGGGACGAGGCTCCCCGTGAGCAGCTGGCCGTGCAGGACAGCCTGGAGAGTGACCTCCTCGCCAACGAGAGCATGGACGAGTTCATGTCCATCGCAGGCAGCATGGACGTGGCTCTGCCTGAAAAGGAGGGCCCCCCGATGGAGGGCTGGGGGGGCAGCGAGGTGAAGTGCGGCCGGGTGGACAGTGAGGACAACCTTTCAGAGGAGCCCGAGATGGAGAGTCTCTTCCCAGCCTTGGCTTCTCTGGCCGTGAGCACAGCTGCCAACAACGAGGCGTCCCCTGTGTCATCCAGCGGTGTCACCTACTCCGTAAGTGTCTACAATTCTTCGCTCAGTTTCCTACAGCTGTAGTAGGGAGGGAGTGCACCCCAAACCTCAGTTTCCAGACAGCCCTGATTCATTGCATTTTCCCCATCACAAAGAGATCACGGTGGAAACCCATTTGGGGGGAATGATGATAAAATACTTAACGAACCCAGCCTTAGCAGTCAAACAGTCCTGGGTTTAAAGTGACCAGTTAGACAGGTCCCTTCATCTTTCTGAGCCTCAGTTCCCCTATCTGTCTTCCTGGCTTGTTTTCAAAATTACTGAGTCAGGCCCTCTGTGCCTACCACGTCGTGAGCACTCGATCAATCGATAGCAGCCTTGATGATGAGCATCTTGACTTACACCCAGGTGCAATATCTTCTAAATCTTTGAGTTTGGCTCTTTGGAGTCCTGCCTCAATGTGAAAAGTCTCACTAGACTCCTTACCTTGAGGGTGGGGGAACCACAACACCATTAAATCCAAGCTTAAATGTTCCCGTGTTGGCAGCTTCCCTCAAGCAAAAGCCAGCTTTGGTATTTTCTTGCCTTTTGGGATTGATTTTGGCCTTTAGATGTTCTTTTGTTTTCTGGCCATATCATTGAGCCATGTCATCAGGATTTTGGGGTCAAGGCATCAGGTCCAGCTTATTTCCAGAATCGGACTTCAGTTCCTTCCACTTATCCAGTCTTCGGCAGAGAGGGACATAATTCCAGCCACAGTTACAACTCTCTTTTAGTTTCTTCATCTATAAAATGGGAGTAATGCATCCATGCACCTCAGGATTGCTTTGTGTTATCAAAGAAAAAAATTAAAACAATATTCCTCATACAAAGTGAAGGGGATTTCTTAGAAAACTAACAAAAACCAAATCAAACCCTCAACTGGGCGCGGTAGAGGATGTCCTTACAGTGACGACAGGAGAGGGGAAGGAGAGGGGTGAGAATCTCTAAAATTAGCCTCTGAGAGGAGTTGGGGTGTAATTGTTTTCTTCCCCTCCTGTGGGCCGGCAGCCGGAGCTGCTCGACCTGTACACAGTGAACCTGCACCGCATCGAGAAGGACGTGCAGAGGTGCGACCGCAACTACTGGTACTTCACGCCCGCCAACCTGGAGAAGCTGCGCAACGTCATGTGCAGGTGGCTGGGGCCGGGGCAGGGCTGCATCTGTAGGGGATCAGATCGGATGGGGAGGGTAGAAGGTGGACTGCGGAGAGCCCAGCTAGAACTGCAGCCTCTGCAGCTGGCACCAGGCCCACCAGATCTTATTCCAGCCCACGCTGACACTATAACAATCATAGTAGTGTTAATAATAGAGGACATTTATTAAGCACGTACTGTATACCAGGCTCTGTCCTGAGCCCTTCACCGACATCATCTCTCTTAATCCTCACAACAAGCCTCTGAGGTAAGTATTGTCCCCCTTTATAGGTGAGGAAGTGGAGGCTCAGGGGGTACGACATTGCTCAAAGGCCTCCAGCTGGGCAGTGGCCGAGCGGGAACTTGTCCCCACATCTCTGGGGCTCTGGAGTCTGTGCTGTATTTTATTAAGCCAAGACCTGGGGCTACTTCCTACTTTTCATTGAAAGTTATTTTTATTTCTAAAAGTATGGAAGTAACCCAGGCTGATTAAAAACCTAAATCAACCAAGGAAATCAGTTCATAGATATAAAGAGAAACTTCTCCCATATCCAGTCATCAATACCACTGACCAGAAGAAGTAAGTACTGCTAATATGTTAGGAATATTCCTCTGAGAATTAAATGCTGCAATATATGTATAGCAGGCTGAGTAAACAGTAAATGCCCAGTAAATATTCACTACTTTTAAGTGGCAGATGGGAATTTAAGACAGAGGGAACTGTGCAAGCACAGGGGCATGCGCGTGTGCTCTATCTGTACAAGTTGAATAGTGCCATGTGGCCAGAGAGGACGAAGTACTGGGGCCTGATGGGTGAGACTGTGAATATGGAAGGGAAGGGACTGTAAGTGCCTTGTGTCCCCATTTAAGGGCTTGGATAGTGTCCTGTTACACAGTGGAAGACTGTGACGGTTTTGAGCGCTCAGGGACCTCCTTGAGCTGGAGGTTTGAAGAGAGTGAGATTGGGGATGGGGATGCAGGCAGGGGGTTGAGGGCGTGGTCCTGGTGAGGGGTGGGGAGCTGGACCACAGAGGAGGCAAGGGAGGAATGGGTTGGAGAGGCAGGGTGTGGGTGTCCACACTGAGCCCCTGTGTCTCTGTCGTAGCTACATCTGGCAGCACATTGAGATTGGCTATGTCCAGGGCATGTGTGACCTCCTGGCTCCACTGCTGGTCATTCTGGATGACGGTGAGTGTGTTCTCCTACCAAGGGCTGGGGGTGCAGTTTCGTTCCTACTGCTGGGGGTGGGAGGAGATGGGCGGTGAACTTCACTTTGTGTCAGGACAGGTGCTGAGAAGGCCTATCTGGTGAACACATCAGGGTCCTCATGAAATAAAAAGTCCTGTGTTCCATGGTGGCCAGTGCTGAATGCCCAGTGCCCGCCACCCAGCCAGGGCGTTGCTAGCCACTGATGGTACAAACAGGAATGGGAATTAAAGGAAAAACCCAGGCCCAGATTAGATTGACACGTGACCTATGCGATCTTTCTCCCAGTAACCCGTAATCCCAGTCTTATCATGATAAACACACCAGACTGATTCCAGTAGAGAGGCATTCTAGAAAATACCTGACAAGTACTCTTCAAAACTCTCAAGGTCAAAAGAAACAAGGAAAGCCTGAGAAACTTTCATAGCCAAGCGGAACCTAAGGAGACATGACAAATATGTCTACCCTAGATGGGTTCTTGGAACAGAAGAGGGGCATTAGGTTAAAAACTATGGTCTTTAGTAAATAATATACTATCAGTGGGCCATCAGTGACAACAAAGGTACCATATTACGTATAAGATATTCGTAAAAGGGGAAACTGGGTGTGGAGGTATATGGAAATTCTCTCTACTCTGTTCTCAGTTGTTCTGTACATCTAAACTGTTTTTAAAAAATAGTCTAAAAAAAATGAATGCGATCCTACTATGCCTTGGGAAACCTCATAACTCTCCCCAAAATTATTAGGTGTTAAGAGAAAAAAGGTACCCCTTTTAAATAAATGTTTTAAACACTGGGTTAAACAATATGAAAACAGATTTCTTTATTGTAGGATTTCTCAGAGCTTTTTCTTTCTTTTTTTTTTTTAACGGTACAAATGGCATTTGGTTGCAACAGGAAGTGGAAGAGGAGGGAATATAACAGCTCCAGATCCTGTGGCGGCTTCAGACTACGTGGCCGTCCTCAGAAAGCGAGCTTTTTCCTAATATTTGTAGTGACTCTCAAAGCAGCTTTTCTCAAAATTATTTTAGCATTTTTTTGCATAACATCCTTCCAATATTGATGTTTCCTATTGTAATACAGAAGTTCCCAGACATGAGAATTTCATGAACCCTGCCTTGAAATGGATGCACCAGCATTCCATTGTCCATGTGCTTCTCATGTGTGGCCAGCTCAGGGCCTGAGACCATCACTTTGGGACCTGCAGTCCCTTGGGCAGTGGTGGAGCTGATGGTTTCTCCTGTGCTCTTTCCCCAGAGGCCCTCACCTTCAGCTGCTTCACGGAGCTTATGAAGAGAATGAACCAGAACTTCCCCCATGGAGGCGCTATGGACACACACTTTGCCAACATGAGGTCACTAATCCAGGTGTGACTCAGTAATATAACTTATTCCAACTCAACTCAATGGGCCTCAGGTCAACTTAATAGCCACTCCTAGTTTAACTCAACTTAGTAACTCAGCCCAGCTGAGTTGAACTCAAAAACTCAAGTCTGCCCAGCCAGCGTGGCTCAGTGGTTGAGCATTGACTTGTGAACCAGGAGGTCAGGGTTTGATTCCTGGTCAGGGCACATGCTCAGGTTGCGGGCTCGATCCCCAGTGTGGGGCGTATAGGGGACAGCCGATCAATGATTCTCTCTCATCATTGATGTTTCTATCTCTCCCTTCCTCTCCCTTCTTCTCTGAAATCAATAAAAAAATATATATTTTTTAAAAACTCAAGTCCACTTAACCTCTGAATTGAACTAAAAAATTTAGTTCAGCTCAACCTTAAGTCAACAACTCAAATCAATTCTACCAGATTCATTTTCACTGAGCATTTACTCAGTCCAGGCACTACGACCACATAATGACCAAGACACAGCCCCAGCCCTAAGAGGATGTTTGATTGTATTGGTCTTTTTCCTCAAAGTAATGTTTGGGGAAATTACACACACACGCACACCTTTATTGAAATGTAATTCACATATCATAAAATGTACCCTTTTAAAATGTACAATTCAGTGGGTTTTCGAATATTCACAGTTGTGAAGCCCACATCACAGTCTAATTTCTGAACATTTTCATCCCCCCGAAAAGAAACTCCATACCCAGTAACATCAGTTCCTCTCCCCAGCCCCTGGCAACCGCAAGCCTACTTTCTGTCTTACACGTTTATCTTTTCTGGACGTTTCATATAAATGGCATTATACAATATGTTGCTTTTGGGTCAGGCTTCTCTCACTTAGCACGATGTTTTCATGGTTCATCCACGTTGTAGCATGTAGTATTTGTTTTTATTGCCAGATAATCTTCCATTGAGTGAATATACCTTTTTTTTTATCCATTCATCTGTTGATGGACATTTGGGTGGTTTCCACTTTATGGCTATTATGAATAATGTTGTGCATTCATGTACGAGTTTTTATGTGGACATATGTTTTCATTTCTCTTGGGGATATAAATCTATATGCAGCCACACCATTTTACATTCCTACCAGCAGCACATGAGGCTTCCAGTTTCTCTCCATCCTTGTCAACACTTTGCTGCCTGTCATTTTTATTATAGTCTTCCTAGAGGTGTCAAATGGTATCTCATTATGGTTTTATTTGTATTTACCTAATAACTCATGACATGGAGAATTACTCATGTGCTTATTGGCCATTTGCATATCTATTTAGGAGAAATGACTGGGTTAGGTTGAGCGAGGCTGATTTCTACTTCAAATCCTTTGCCCATATTTTACTGCACCTGGTTATTAAGGGCTATATGGTGTCCAGTATGGGGATGGACCATCATTTATCCAGCTGTCCCCTCTGGTCTGGCCTTTCCTCAGGAGGCTGATGCCCACCTTTCCTTCCTCTGACAGATCCTGGACTCAGAGCTCTTTGAGCTGATGCATCAGAATGGAGACTACACTCACTTCTACTTCTGCTACCGCTGGTTCCTGCTGGATTTCAAACGAGGTACAAACATCAAACTGGGGCCTTGTTCCCAGACTCTTTGTAGCAGAACCTCAGGGAAAAGATACTACAGAGCAAAAATTAGTGTAAGAGAGCAGTACCTACTTATTGAATTCTCATTATCAGTTCACCTACCTTATCTTGCAGTGACACCATGCAGTAGTAGTATTGCAGTCCCCATTGTACAGATGAGGAAACTGAGACTGAGAAAATTTGAACTCCGAGCTGGGAGGAATAGAGCCATTTCCCTTCCATTCTATTATGCTGCTTATCAGAGACCAAGAACTCTGAAGCCTCTGGAGCATGTTTCACATGGGACTTAGATATTATGGAGAACACAGTACATTGCTATGACGCTAATTTGGGATGATACTAAGAATAACGTCTAACACATACGGAGGTGTTCATTAAGTGCCAGGCACTGTGCTGAGCCATTTCTATGTATTATCCTGTTAGTCTTTTACTACCGTCACCATCACCCCACTTAGAGATGAGGAAAGAGAGCATCTAGCCCAAGGTCACCTTGATGGAGCTAGAATTCAGACTGAGTTTATTGGGCATAGACAGTCTTGCTCTCTTCTTTTTCTTTTTAAATTACATTTATTGGGGTTACATAGTAACATTATGTAAATTTTAGGTATACAAAGCCTTGCTCTTAACCATTGCTCTATTCTAGCTCTTCACTAGACCCAGATGCAGCAACCAATTCTGTGTACAGGGAAGAGGGGAGATACACCCCCCATGGGTGCTAAAAGAGATGGGAGGGTACAGGAAGAAAGGAGGAGACTGGTCAAAGGGTAGAACCAGGATAGGTTAGTGTTAGTCAAACTGCATAATTCCTCCACTTGCAGAATGTCAGAGTTGAAAACTTGCAACCCACCTTATTTGTTAGCCCATTCTACAGATGGGGAAAACTGAGGCTTTGGATGGTCAAATGGCAGAGTCCAGGTCTCCTAGCTCCTGGCTTGAGCTCTGCTGCACCAGGACAGAAGCTCAGAGCACAGCTGGCCTGGGATTTTTCCAGAGGGCAGGCAGCATCATGAGCCCTGTGGCTGACTCTCTCCCCATGTGTGTGTGCGTTGGTGTCTGTCTCGGCAGAACTTGTCTATGATGATGTCTTCTCTGTCTGGGAGACCATTTGGGCAGCCAAACACGTCTCATCCACCCACTACGTCCTGTTCATCGCGTTGGCTCTGGTGGAGGTCTACCGTGACATCATCTTAGAGAACAACATGGATTTCACAGACATCATCAAGTTCTTTAATGGTACCCACACAACCGGGATCTCATCTGAGGGGTGCAGGCTTCTAGAGGGCCCCTTCCTGGGGCCTTGGGAGGGATGGAAATTTACTGAGATTGACACACAGGAGGGGCTGGAGGGGCTTCTGCCCACTTCTTGTGTCTCTTCCCAATGGATGAGTCGACCTCCTGTATTGCTGAGGATATGTTTTCCCCTGGGATCTGGCAGAAGGAGCATGGGTGTTGAAATCGAGCTCGGGGCAAACCCTGGCTCTGCCACTAGCCAGCTGCGCCCATGGACCAGTCACTTTCCTCTCTAAACATCTGCTTTCTCATCTGTGAAATGGGGTAGCAGTGTCTGCTTCAGAGGGTAGGTGTGTGTAGGAAAAGCAAGCAAAGGAAGGCAGTTGACGTGAATAAAAAGGGAATAGCCTTGGAAATCAGAACAGATGTGGATTCTGATCCCAGCTCTGCCACTCAGGAGTTGGGGGACCTTAGGCAAATGGCTTCTTGTCTCTGGGCTTCAGATCCTGGAGGATGAAAATGGTGCTAGACCTCAATCACAGAGATGTCAGGAGAGCATGATAGCTACTCCATATGAGGGGCCCATAGCAGGAAGCTGTTGGTACTGTTTTTACTACTTATAACATTGTTTTTTTTTAACCAAAGAAGGTTTTGGAAAAAGCAAAAGGAGAAAAAAAGCCATCTGTGACCTTCCCCTGGAAACATCATTAATTTATTTTAGAATAATTGTAGATTTACAGAAAAGTTGCAAAGAGAGTACCAAGTGTTCCTGATGCCCCTTACCCGGCTCCCCCTAGTGCTAATAAGTACAGTTACTGATGGGGTGTGTGCACCCGCTGGACTTGGCCCGCCTTCTCAAGCCTTGGAATTCGGTTGACACCACCACCTTCATTTCCTGTGCCACGTGATTTTCATCTGCTTTCTGAAAACCTAGCTGTGCAAAGCTATAAAGTCATCGACAGGAATACAATGTAGTTAGTGAACTCACTCACTCTAGTGTGCAATAGATGTGGCCTATTGCGGCATTTCCCTCTAAATTTTTCTGGGTTCACAGTGGGTGCTCTCAGGTACCTCGGCACCCAGTTCGGGAACCAGGGTCTTACTGCCTTTTTCCTCTGCTAAATGACTTCCTTATGATATATGTCTAAGTTTATGATTATTCTGCCTTAAAGATTTGACCATTTTGTGTGGCTCTTGATAACTTTATTTATTTATTTTTCTTTCCATCTTTCCCTCCCCCTTCTTTTGCTTCCTTCCCCTGACACTTCTAAGCATCTACTGTGTGCCCAGCATTGCTTTCTTACAAAAAGTTCCCAGGCACTGTATTTGTAGGAAGGGGGTGGGAAGACCTAACATTTTTAAGCATGCACTGAACCAGCGTCATCTCATTTGATCTCACAGTAACCTAGTGTGAAGCAGGTACTGTTACAATCCCCATTTTACAGATGAGGAAACTGAGGTCCAGAGGTGCCTCAGGACTTCCCCACGGTCTCTGCTTCCAGATCCCTCTGGGGCTGAAGTCAGAGGACAATGATGGGAACACCCCAGAGACCCTTCCAGGTGCTGGAAGTGTGTCCCGAGGATGGACACAGAGGGAGGCTCACGAGCTGTCTCCCCTTCTGCCCTTTCAGAAATGGCGGAGCGACACAACACCAAGCAGATCCTGAAGCTGGCCCGGGACCTCGTGTACAAGGTGCAGACTCTGATTGAGAACAAGTGAGGGCCGCCTCACCCAGGCAGCCTCAGCCAAGCTGCCACCTGCCTGTCGTGCCCACTTTTCCTCCCAGCCACTGGGGAGCGAGGTCCTGGTGTCTGTCTGTGAGCATGGACTTCTGTGCAAAGAGAAACTGGCCCGACTTTGGCCGCCGGGCAGGTGGGGTCGAGGGCTCGCCCCTTGAGTTCAGCCTTACGTTTTCCTGTTTGACCAAAGATCGCCCGTGTATGGGATTTCTCCTTGCGGGAACTGTCGGTGGATGGAGGGAACGTCTTTGTTCAAGGCCTCCAGACGTCTTCTCTATTCTCTCCCCGTCCCTCCAGACTGTCTTGTCAGATGAGACGTGGGATGGGATTGTTTCGGAAGTTGGTGTAGGAGTCTGTGGGGTGCCCTCTGTACTCTGGAAGGAGTCTTTACAGATGTCCCAGAACAGCTGGAAGACCGGCTGGCCGCAGGGTTTTTGCACTTAGCACTGTTGACATTTGGACTGGGTCATCCTTTTTGGGGGGTGAGAGGCGGGAGGGTGTTCTGCACATTGTAGGATGTTGAGCAGCATCCCTGGCTTCTCCCCACCAGATGCTAGTACTACCCTCCTCCCCACCCCATTGTGACAACCCAGAATGTCCCCGGATATTGCCAAACGTCCCCACTGGCTTAGAGGAGGGGCTACCAATGTATCTCCCAACCGGTTCTCTTTCTACCTAAGCTGCCCGTGTCCTGAGGCCCCCTTTAGGAAAGGCACGTGGGAGGCCTCACACGTCTCCCCTTGAGGGGTGAGATTCCGTCTGCTGTATTCTCTCATTTTTTTCCTCCACCTGACTCTGGGAGAGACTTCTTTTCAAGAAGGGAGTCTTCCTGCGGGGCAGTGGGATCCCAGAAGTGTCTGCAGGTGGGAGACAGTCCGGGGCTCTTCTGGGTTTCACCCAGAGCCCCCTGTGATCCCCCCAGGAAAGACTGCCTCTCCTTCCACACATGGGTCTGGTGCTCCAGGAGCTTGGAATGTGTGTGTTGGTGCAGCTGTTCCCCAAGTGCCCTTGCTCACTCAGGACGAAGGAAGAGGAAGACAGAGGGCAGCCAGGGTGATGTGTGTGTTTTCCATGGTGGCTCAGTCCGGAAATGGTCCCCGCCACATCTTCTCTCAAAGGGTCGCCAGTCCACAAACAGATCCTGAGTTCGGTGGCTCAGCTGCCCACCTGTCCTCCAGGAAGGTGGTCCTGCCCACTCTGTTCTGATAATGCACCAGAATCGGGGGAAACAGAGTCGGGGAACTGCTCTTCCCAAGAATGGCAGGTCGGGTTTTGGAGATGGCAGGAGACACCTAACACATTGAAGCGTTGACACGGGGTGCTTAGTCCTCCCACCCTGAGCAAACCAGGACCGGAGAAGTCCCTGCCCTGCGTGCTGGGGAAGCTCTTCCCTCGGTCACAGCGCCTCCAACTGCATCTGAGTCCCCACTTTCCCCTAGTGGGGCTTCCTGGGAGGGACAGACAAGCCCCAGAGGGCCCTTGCTTCCGAAGAGCGATCATCCTCTCACCCTGGTTCCCCAGTTTCCTTGGATGGGAAAAATGTGCGAAAGGCCCCCCCGAGAAAAGTGCATTCTGCCACATAGCTGCTCCTAGCAGGGGATGTTTTGTTAGCACAACCCAGACCCTCTGGTTCTTACTTATTTTTTGACGGAGTAGTCACACAGCACAGCACAAGATTTCCTCTCTGCCTTCTCTCGTGGTGTCCTGGGACACGTCGTGGTTGTGGCTTGGACTAACTGCTCTCTGTTCAGCTCTCTGCTTCTTCAGGTGTCCGTGAGCTGCGTCGTCGTCGTGTCCTAGAGTTGAGTGTGTGGGAGTCGTTCTGTCTGCAGCGTGCCCTCCTTTCTCAGTGTTACCAGCACATCTTGTAACTGTTTACTGAAGAGTTGTGTCTATATAGAGAGAAAACATATATAAACCAAGAGGTGTGTGAATCTGAGTTGTTTTTGTTTCTGTGTTTGGGGGAATTTTTTTTAACTTGAAAGAAATGTTTGTTTCTGAAGACTCCGTCCTCCCGCCGCAGTGGCTCAGATCCCCGATGGACACAAAAGTTCAAGGCAGGTGAATCACTTCGCATCCTTGTATCTTAGCTGTTCCCACGAGTAATGCTGCAGAACAGACCACCCCAAGTCTAGTGGCTTAAAGTGGACATTTATTTAGCTTGTGACTCTGTGTCAGCAATGTGGGCTGTGTTCAGCTGGGAGGTTCTTCTGGTCTCAGATGGACTTCATGTGTCTGTGATCAGCTGGGCAGCTGGGCTGGCTGTTGGCAGGACCGTGGGGCAGCCGGGCCCTGTGTCTCATGTCCTCCAGCTGGCTCGCTCAGGCTTGTTTACGTGGCCATGGCGGCATTTCCAAGACAGTGAGCAGAAGTGTGCAAGGCTCGAGATTGGCATCAGGTCATTTCCACCATATTCTCTTGGTCAGAGTAAGTCACGTGGCTGAGCTCAGACTCAGAGAATGGGGAGGTAGACTCCACCACTCCATGGGAGACTTTGGAAAATGACATTGAAAAGGGGTTTGGGCCTGACTGGCATGGCTCAGTGGTTGAGCATCGACCTATGAACCAGGAGGTCATGGTTCAATTCCAGGTCAGGGCACATGCCCAGGTAGCGGGCTCAATCCCCAGTTTGGGGCGTGCAGGAGGCAGCTGATAAGTGATGCTCTCGTCATCGATGCTTCTAGCTCTCCCTCTCCCTTCCTCTCTGAAATCTATATATATGTATATATATATATATATATATATATATATATATATATATATATACACACACACACACACACACACATATATATATATATATATGTATGTATACACACACACACACACACACATATATATAAAGGGCTGTGGATACAGGTGGGGAAATCACTGAGGCCATTTTGCGAACAGTGTACCATGTACCCCAAGGTCCATGCACAAGAGTCGTCCCCAGGTGGGGATGATATCTGGGTTATGACCCCAGTTTCCCTGAGTTCCCATCATAACAACCGGATAAGGTCGGCCATATTTCACACACCGCCATTTTACAGAAAAATACAGTGAGGTCCAGAGAGGTGAAGTGGCTTGCCTCAGGTCACAAGGAAGCAGTAGAGGTGGCATTTGAACCTAGGTACGTGGTGATTTCGTATAGCTGTAAAATGGGTTCTTTTCACTCCTGAGAAAATTTTATTTCCTCACTTCTGGCATAAGGATGATTTTCTCAGTGTCGCTGGAGAAGCGGATGGTCCTCCCCTGTACTTTGGTCGTGCGGGGCCACCTGATGACGGCCAGGATGCTGGCCAGGACTGCGTTGAGGATGGCGGTCACATAGCCCCAGCCCAGCTGGCACTGTCCACTGCGGTACACAGAGGAGGCTCCACAGGCCTCCTTGGCAAATGGGGAGGCCAGGCCGATAGGGAAAGCCAGCAGGCCGACAATGGTGGTGGTGGCTGGAGACAGCAAAGGAGAAAGCCACTGTGTCAGGGGCTCTGGGCTAACCTTCCCCGACTCCCTCACTCATCCACCCTCCTGTCCACCGTCCATCCATCCATCCACCCATTCATCCATTCATTCACTAATTTATCAGCCTGCCTATCCCTAAAATTTTTTTATTAAAGTATAGTTGGCATTCAATATAATATTAGTTTCAGTTGTACAACTGAAACAGAGTGATTTGACATTTATATGCCTTACAATGTGATCACCACAATAAGTCTAGTAACGGTCTGTCACCATGCAAAGTTAATATCATAATAGCACATCTTTCCTTTTATCCACCCATCACTGAACTATCCTTGTGCCCATTTGTCCATCTACTCATCCATCCATTCAACCATATTCTAATTCATTCATTCTATCCATCTCTCTGTCTACCCATTCACTCATCCAAACATCTATCCACCTGCCCACTTAGCCACCTGCTCCCTGCATCCATCCATCCATCTATCCATCCATCTATCTCCACCTTCCATTCATATTCCAATCTACCCATTCATCCTTATCCATTCATCTACTAAGACATCCATTGTCCACTTATCAATTCATCCATCCACTTACCCTCCCACCCATTCATTCATTCATTCATTCACCAGTCCACCCATTCATTCACCACAATTGTTAGAGGTGCTGTTGTGGGCACTGATGATGCTAAGGAAATGGGCTGGACACCTCCTCACGTTGGGCACTCCCAGTGCGGGAGAATCAGGTGAACCCTCAGCCTCGCTTGCTGCTCCTCAGCCACACCAGTCTCCTTGCAGTTTTCTACACACCCCTGCTCTCTTGTCTCCATGCCTTTGCCCCTGGTGTTCCATTACATGAAATGGCTTTCTACATTTGACTATAACTCCCACTTGTCCTTCCAGACTCAGCTCAGGTGATGCTTCCTCCAGGACACCTTTAACATCCTTCACCCTCCTGGAATTTTTCCTTGCACCCTGTGCTTATCCCCGTTGTGCCAAGTATCTATTAGTTGTACATGCCTGATGTACCCCATCCTCACCAGCCACTGTGCAAGCCTGGGACAAGGACTGTATCTCCAACTATTGAGCATCTGTTATGTGCAAAGCACTGTGGTAGATGCTGGTGATATTAAGACAGACATATCCTCACCCTCATGGAACTGACGTTCCAGTGGAGAGAACTGGACAGTAATCAGGAAAGCAGAAGAGAGATTTCAGGTAGTAAGTGCTGTGCAAAATACAAAGCAAGACAAGAAGGAGAATCTAAGGAGAGGGGCGCTCCTACCTGGAGGCCATGGAGGACCTCACTGAGAGCCCTTAATGAAGTAGGGAAGCAAGATAAGTGAAGATGTGAGAACAGGAGTCCACGCAGAGGGAACAGGCCAGGTGTATATGAGCAACAGAAGGCAGGCCGGGGTGGCTGGAGCACGTGGAGCCCGGCAGAGGGGGCCAGAGGTGAGGTTGCTAAGAGAATGGAGGGTTGATCAGGTGGAGCCTCATAGGCCACCATAAGGAGCCTGGATTTTACTCGGTGAGACAGGAAGTCAGTGAAGGGTGGATGAGCCTGTCTGGTGGCAGGATCTGATGTCAGTTTTAACAGGACCCATTTGGCCAGTGTGTGGCAAACATTCTAAGGTGGCAGGCAGCAGAGGGGCAGATGAGAGATGAGAGATGGTGGCGAATTAATTGGGTATGATTACCATCAAGGCCTGGGCTAGCTCATTACAGAGACTTAAGTGTGAGTCAAGGAAAAGCAACTGTTCAGGGCAGATGCAACCCTGCAGTCTCACGGCTTAGCAAGTGGAGCGTGGGCTAGATTTCAGCGTCTGTCAGCCCTCTGCTGGCACCCTGTGCAGTACCCGCGCTGCCCAGCTGTGTGTGGTGGTCCAGGTAGAGATGATGCAAAGTGGATGGATAAGAGAGAAATAAAGGGGGACCGACTATTAGGACTGAGATTAGCTCAGGGCAGGAGAGGGTGCTGTTAAGGATAGCATCCCCTCCGCCCCCGCCCCTGACCATTTCTGGCTTGCTAAAGGGCCAGGAAGAATCAAAACTCACTCCTAGGGCTTATCTCTGAAGATTTGACCCAGGAGCGCAGACCTGCTGACAGGTTTTTCCCTTTCATTCATCATTCATTCCACAGCATGTCTGGACTGCTTACTATGTGACAGTGGGTTTACCTGCAGCTGCCAGCACCCCCCGCATTTTGCCACTGCCCCTCCTTGGGCACAGCTCTTTGGGGGCCAGGACCCAGGACAGGAGGAGGATTGCATGGAAGGCCAACAGGAGCCAGCCTCCAAGGAGAAGCGCAGCTGAGACCTGTCAGGAGGAGAGAGGGGGGGCGGGGTGTTGACTGGGTGGGGCAGGAGGATGTTCCCCTGCATATTGACCAGCTACTGAGTCCTTATCCCCATTTTACACGTCAGCAAACTGAGGGCCCAGGAGGTAGGGTCATTTGCTTCAGGGCACACGGCTAATTAAGTAGTAGAGCCAGGGTTAAGATCTGGGTGTACAACCACCACACCCGACCTATGTTGACTACCTGCTATACGGCGGATCACCTTTGTCGTTACCGGTTTTGAAGGCTGTATAATTTTCCTTACAGGTACTGGGCCGGGAGTCCTGGCCCACTGCCCCCATTGTTGAATTTGGTAATGTGCCTCATACCAGAGACTTCCAACACCTTGGCTGTGGTTTTCCAACCTAGCAGTGCGTAGAGGGTGGCCAGGTAGGCGTGTGCAGGTTGTACACGGCACAACTCAGACGCACTGGGATCACAGATTTGCATATATTGATTACAGTAATTCTCCAGCAGATGGCAGTTTAGTGTCCTAAAGAAGGGGCCCCTTGTCTTAATTTGTACAAAGGTGCTATATGGGCTGACAGCTGCTTTTAGAATCATCCTGGGTATTAGCTAAAATGCAAATAGCCAGACCCAGCACCCCCCGCCCCCCGGCTACTCCCACCCCCACCCCGAGTCAGAGGCTCAGGTCAGGGCTAGCGGTGGTGGTGCAGAACTTGGCTTTGTTTCGTGCCCGTGGGTTTGACAGTCCCCCTTCCCTCACACCCCAGGTCCCAGTGAATTGATGAGCAGAGGACTCACCTTCCAGGCAAAGTCCGGAATGTCATCCAGGGACCTGAAGATCCCACAGCTCTGGTTCCAGCTGTCACCCTGAGGCCAGGAGCAGTAGGAGAGGACGCCAAAGGAGAAGGTGGGCGTCTGGAACCAGGCAGGGGAGAGGAGGCTGAGGGCCGAGATGCAGGTCAGGGAGAGTCCCAGAGCAACCCACACGCTGCCCACCATCGTGGCGTGTCAGTGACCTGGGGGTCAACACGCAAGATTAGTGGTGGAGGCTGTGGGGCAAGGAGAGAAACGGGGCCTTTAAAGGTGCCCCCCCCCCCCAACCCACCAAGCCAGGGATGTGGTTCTGTGTTCATACCCCAGGTCATCCGACTCCGTTTGACCTCACGATGCAATGGGAGATG